GGAGGCTCCGGCTCGTCCCAGCAGCCATCCTGTTTGAGCTCAGCACGGACTGAATTGACATGCGTCCACTGCGGCCCGCAAGACAGGAAAAAGTCAAAAGTACGCCATCTGAGCCAACCCTGCGCACGGGTGGGCTTCATCCGTGTTCGCCGCCTCACATTTCTGCTGCAGGGTCATGAGATTGATCGCGGCCCGGAGAGCCTGCTCTCTCCGTGACCCAGCGCGCGGGAATGTCCGGCGGCACCCAGTAGCACATTCGTCACCATTGTCTGCGGGCAAGACGAGTGAGCTGTCGTTCCAGAGAATCTCAGCTGCCAGAAATAACCAGAAATAACCGCCTCCATAGCGGCGGTCCGAACGGACAGGCTCAGTAGACCATGGTGGCGCCGGCATGCGTTCCTTAGAGGTGCATCGCGTCTGGGTGGTAGACGTTTATGTTATCTTGATACAGAAATTTAACATGACATACTTGTTCTCATGGAAGGCCGTTTTGGGGGAAATCATCTCCATTGGTGGTAAATATTGAGAAAGGTTGATCGGCAGAAGTCCAGGAAGATATATTCTTCTTGTTCTGATGGGCCAAGATGATTAGTTGCGCTGTTTTCAATGAAAAATGGTCCGCATGTCCCGCCGCATTCGTCAGCCGCGGTATTTGTTGCAGATCAGTGCTGGCTGCTGAACCAACGTAAACGTCTATAAAGCTCTAAAACCCTCTTAGGACTCTCCAATGTTAGTATAACTCCCACAACAGACTCAGGTCATCCAAAAACAGTTCAAAATCACAAAACGTGCATCATTCAAAAATACGTCAGTCGCCTTCAGTTCCTGTTCCAGTGAATTGTATGCAGCCAAGATGCTGTCGGTGATGGCTCGAGCATAACGTCTCCGGTCGAAAACATGTGTGCGTCTCTGTTCACAATCTTTTCACCTAGCGAAAAGTATTGCTGTGTCGTCCAGACATGACCATATTTGACGACAGCTGCGCTCAAAGCGTGGCGCCCACCGTCAGCTGCCCATCCACCTACGCTTATGCAGCACCGTCCCCAATTTCTGGAACTTGATGCCAGACGCCGAGCTTGGCGTCTGGCAGGCAGCCGCCGCCGCCGCCGCCTTCGCCTCTGTCTCCGCCGCCGTCGCGGTCCCTGTACCGCCTCCCACTCACCTTCAGTCGGGTATAAAATACGACGCCCATTCGCGGCTTTGTCCGTCCATTTATGGCGAGTTGCAGCTCTGGGATGCTGCCAAAGGCTCATGTTTGGCTGCTGCTTATTTCCGCCATGTCGTGCTGCTTATTTCCACCACTTTCGCTTATTTCCGCCATGTCCGTCGTGTCATTTGTCGTGGTTTGCGGCGGAAGCAGTCGTGTAATATCAAAGCGCCGCGTGATAGACGGGATCAGAGTACTTGCGTTCAGATATTCCATCAAACCTCGACGGATCGCGTGTTGAAAATCACCCACGCACCAAAACGGAACTTTACAACATTCCGAGGAAAAGTACAATACCACGTGCTTGCATTTTTATATTGTTGCTTGAACCGCTCTTTTACAATTACTTGGGTTTCACGATTATTTGAGCATCTTAAATGACGATGGGACGGGGAGCGGCATAAATTGGGAAATAGGGCTACCTCACTTATGTGTTGTTTTTCACTGAACGACTCGTTACGGTAGCAAATGAATGACTAGCAAATGTGTAACATGACATCTGTTTTCCGCGCAGTTTGCAAGCGATTCCAGCAACCGGGAGGGGGGCCGCACGTGGTCCCACCATCCTTCAGATGTCGGGCCATGTCTAGCACACTGCACCTGCCGTAGCTGTAACATTTCGTGCTACACCCGTCAGAAACGTCAAATTCAGTACATGGCACCTCACCGCAGTAAGATGGGACTGGGTCCTGCCGTGAGGTCCTGGCGGAGGCCCGGAGAGCAGTGTTGTGGGATCAATAGTCCAGGCCACACAGCTGAAGAACCTTGGCGTGACAACGTGTGACGGCCCCGGTTTTCAAGGAACCTCTGCCCCTGTCTAGGCCTCCTCTTGCCAGATCCTGGTCGGGCCCCTGCTGAGGCGTTACCAGAGGCGTCAATGCCATCGGATCACTGCTACAACCGTGAAGCGCCACTAGCCTGCAGTGTTTGCCACTTCTGCCCCTCTTGGCTCGCAGTGTTCGCCGCTCCTGCCCATGGTCTGCAGTGCCTGCAGCTCCTGTCCCTCCTGGCCTGCAGTGCTCGCCGCTCCTGTCCCTGGTTTGCAGTGCTCGCCGCTCCTGTCCCTGGTCTGCAGTGCCCGCCGCTCCTGCCCTTCCTGGCCCGCAGTGCTCGCCGCTCCTGCCCATACTGGTTTGCAGTGCTCGCCGCTCCTGTCCCTGGTCTGCAGTGCTCGCCGCTCCTGCCACTCCCCCATCTTTGTGTGCGCCAAAACACCGCCGGCGCCAAGGCTGCCGCACGCCCGATTCGGTGGAACTGGCTAATTTCAATTGCTGTCGGGCCTCAGAATGAGATGTGCTGCACGCTCCCACTAATCAGCGGGCTCGCGGCGGCGGGCGGCGGAGCGGCTAGCGGCGGTAATGGACGCTACGCGCGGGGCATTTGCTGCTGCTGAACTGGAAATTGCAATCTCGCATCCGACTGTTTGCATCGCTACGAGTGCGCACGACGCCTGCGGGCCCCACTACACCCTCCACGCAGTACCCTTACTGGGTGTTTTGTGTTGGATTGAAGTCTGATCCCCGCCGCCTCGCCCCACCCAGGCTCCACCCCACCACCACTCTGAGTGGCGGATTGATTGCCGAACTGTTACCATCTAATATCCACGCTTTTAAACGCGTTTGACATTCTTGCACATATTGTGGCGTACCTAGAAAGAGTTTCCAAAGTGAACGTGGAGATTCTCTCGTCGCTCAGCCTCAATACTGTTGGCGAGAGTTTTGCTGTCCGACCCTCCCTCCCCCCCCCCCCCCTCCACACACTACCCTGGTTTTCCAACTGGTAGTGTGCGTGTTATTTTTCATAAGTCGTTCTCGCCATATCTCGGGTTTGGCACTAATGGTAGAACGTCACTCGGCCCGCGCGACAGCTGTGTTCGTGAGCGCTCTTCGGAGGTTGCTCCTGTGAGAATTCCCAGATGAAATTGGAGGATGGTGGGGACCTTGCAGCTGAACGCTGCCGCTGAAAAGGCATAGGAAACCTGGGAGCTCTCGCGGAAAACAGCGACTGCTGCTGTCGTCTTGAAATCAATCTCATGGCTCTGCAAAGGTTTTTGCTCCATTTGATGCGGTCTAAAATGAGTGGCGTTTTGTACGACGTTTTGAGTGCGCGCCGATCTTAGTGAATTAAGCAGGAACTAGAGTGGCATGCAGGATCAAAGATAGCCATGTGTTCTCATATCCATCCGTTGTTTCTTACAATGTGAATGGGTGTTTGCCATCTGAATACAGCAACCAACCATGCAGCCTAAACATTTTTATATGTCCCTTGTCCTTGTCCTTTTGTCCTTTTCTTGTAATAGTGGTGGCCCGTGGTTCATCAGTCGTGATGGGTCTTACGTCGAACATTACAACCATTTAGACGTCCTTTCATCTTTTTCTTCTGAAGGCTCTCCGAAGTAGGAGCGCAATTCGATAAAACCCGCATGACAAAACAGGCGTTGCATGACGTCTGCCGTTCCCAACTGATTCGGCGCTTGGCCCCAGTTGTCTGCAGCGCGTAGTCGTGCTACAGAGTGCCGTGCTGATCGCTCGGCCCGATTTAGGGCCTGTTTGTCGCCGGCGGATGAGAACGATCTCAAAGCAGGCCGAAACGTGGCGACCGATTTAAGGAAGCGTAAGATTCCTCGTGCAAATGTTTATCTACATAAGTGGAAGTTAAGAATAGAAGATGACATCGGCGCTGGCTGCACGCCGAAATTCGCGACTAAGCTGCCAGCATGCTCCTTGTTTCACGCAGAGCATAGCCGAGTGTCCGCCAAAGACCTCGGGCCCGCCAACGCCTCGCTGGATAAAGTTAGTCGTCACGGCGGCATCGAGCCAACTTCCGCCGATGCGGGCGACCAGCCGTGCTGGTTGTATAAAGGCCCTCGGCAGAGCTGCCGTCTTGACCCGACCAGGGCCATTAGGGCTCCAATGCGCTGGGCAGCGTAGACCTGGCGACCATTTGACTAGCAATACTCGTAAATGTTGTTCGATAGAACGGAAATACCCACCGCCCCCGAAAAGAAGACTGTGACAATGATGCATGCCCTGCTTGTATACCAAACGTTTGATGCAGGTAAGGCGAGTTTGGGGAATTGATAGGCTTCAGTCCAGATGGGACACAAGTTTGGTGGTAAAAATTAATCATTTTATTAGCACTGTATTTATGTACTATCCAACGTCTCATGGGTTGAATGAGTGCAACCGAGCGATTCCAACCAACCGGAACCGAGCACCCGCAGGCTACACTGCCTCCAATGCCATCAAGGGGAAAGTGCCTTACTGCCTCATATCCCTCCAGCGTAAGGGAAACCAGTTGGTAGAAACTAAATCACACATTATAGTGTGAAATGTGATGTGATCTGTGTTTTGGCTTACATTTTTCAGACGACCTGCAGACATTTAGGTCAACACCGCGTGGTACGCTTCGTTACACACAGTGACCATGGCGTGGCCTTCAGTGTGACTTGCTACGTGACCTATTCGGTGTTTTACAGCTGAAAGAACAACGTGACATGTGTCGTAATCCACGGTCTGAAGCGCACGTCTGCTGTTTCGCAACCTCCTGTGTGGCCTGTAGCGTGGCATCCGGTATTAAATTATAGTGCGGGTATACTCGCACCATCACTTGCGGAGCGACCGGCGACGTCGCCTGAACCTGCATTTGAGCTCGAGGCGTCGCTGACGACATGGCCTGCACGGCGGCTTTAGAGATGTCCCGAAGTGGCTTCTGAACGCTATCCTAAACCGTGGCCTGCACACTGACCCCAGCCATGACCCCGACCCGTCACGTGACCCCCTCGCGCCGGCAGGGGGAGAAGTACGACGGTCGTCGGGCGGACGTGTGGTCGTGTGGCGTGATCCTGTACGCGCTTCTGGTGGGCGCGCTGCCGTTCGACGACGACAACTTGCGCCAGCTGCTGGAGAAGGTCAAACGGGGCACGTTTCACATCCCGCACTTCGTGCCGCCCGACTGTCAGAACCTGCTGCGGGGCATGATTGACGTCAACCCCGAGACCCGGCTCACGGTAAGGGACGATACTCGGCTCACGGTAAGGGATGAGACCCGG